GGGTTATTGATAAGGAAATAAGTGTATTATGAAATACCCAGAACTCATAATTCACTGTCATGCATTCCAACCGAGTTTAGATTTAACCACGCCTACTTCCGCATTACGCAAGGATCGACGTAGCTCTACGCGATAGCGTCATAGACTTCTTCTTCGGCAGTTATAGCGGTCGCGGTAAAGCAGGATATTGAATAGTAGTTTTTTGTCTTTCCAAAGGATTTGTTGACTGAAAGTAAACGATCCTGTAATCAAAGCCATATCGAAGAATCCTGAGATTGTATTACTGGTGTTTTATCATCTATAAATAGCCTGTGTGCATCCTCAAATGTCGTTTTCAGGACAAACAAAAGACGTTTTAAATATCTTATCAGCTGGTGTAAGTGCAGAATACCATCCTTTTAAACGCTGCATATTAATATACAATATAATAGTGCTTCTTTGTCAATATGACTGACGACCACACTTATGCAGTGCTGAGGTAATGTTAATTCATCATTTAATATTAATTCCTGATGGATATAAGAGGGATACATTAGCAAACATCTGTATATAGCCTATATATAATGTTTCGTTTTTTGTTTGTCATGTAACATATTAACGTTTTGACCTTCTGTTTAGGATGTAAATGTATCTATTTCATATTTTATTTAAAGATAGACATTTATAATATGTTATAAATGTCTATTTTGTTATATAATACAACATATAACATTTGACATTAATAACAGGCATGATTATTACACAGTTAACCCTTATTCAGAGTGCCTAATAAATGTATTTTTTTTTTTTACAGTGCAGATTTTGGCTTTTTTGGGACCATCGCACATGTGTGTAAGCATGGGCGTCGCAGCCATTATAAGAGGGTGGGACAAGTCCCCCCCACTTTTTCAAATGATTAGTTTAGACCCCCCCACTTTTACTATGAGGAAAGTCCGTGAATCGGTCTCTCCACTCGCCGCACTTTGTAGAGCGCTGTGTCAGTGCTTCACTATCAAATCCATTCCACTTGCTTATTGAGAGAATGCCCAAATCAATGAAACTCCGTACCATGTTTTCAATATTTCATATATATTGCCACTGTTATGTTTTGATACTGACACTTTATTGATCTGCTGCTGATAAATAAAAGATAACCTACATGGCGATTTAACAGATAATGTATCTTGCTTATTTCTCCTCTGAGACTATCTTTACAGTGACCTGTGTAGCATCCTATACATCACATTTAAGTGATTATTCTGATACCGTCATGTTTCATCGGTTATAAACTGGCGAAGCTTTAGTTATTGTGTCCCACCCACAATATGTGGCTTTGAAATTGATCATTTCATTGTATTTCAAAATGGCGTCCATCAACACAAGCACTATTTATTTATTGAAAGAGAAATGGTTAAGTTTGTAATTACCAGTGTTGTGAGTTCAATATTTTTAATTAATTATAGTAAGGGAACATCTTAGGAGTTAGTGTACCGAGTTCCTCTCAGGAGGATATGTAATAAACAACATGATCTCACCGGATTGCGTGACTCCACCACATTGCGTGGTGGAGTCACTAACTTTGTTACATTTACGTGTCGGCACCACGCAAACAACCCCAATAGGCGCATTCACACTGCGGTACTTTCCCCACAAAGGTTCATGTGAACTTAGTTCATGTGTGACTTTCGTGGGGGTAAAAAGGTTCACATGAACTAATTTTAATACCGGCTCTTTTTGGTGTGAACGCGATAAAAGAGTTCTCATGAACTAAATTCACATGAACCTTTGTGGGAAAAGTACCGCAGTGTGAATGCGCCTAAAGGTTCATGTGAACTTAGTTCATGTGAACTCTTTAGTTCCCATGAACTAAGTACAGATCGCGTTCACACTGGAAAAAGTCCCATGGGGGTGGATTAGGCAAATGAAGCCGCTGACGTCACTTGTTCTTCTTCTGCTTTGGGCTTACTGGCAGGCCGCAAACCACTTCACGGCGTATACTGCCGCCCAAAGTCCCCGGCCGGAAGTCCCCGGAGTTGGGGACTGGCTTCAGTAGAAGCTGCTGGGAGTCCCAGCAGCTTCTACTGAAGCCTTCCGAGTAAATCGCCAGAACGCCGACACCTCCTCATCTTCACCGCTCCCATGTTTTATTTTGTGTTGCCATAAGTTAGTCTCTCTGCGTTTCTGCGCTGGGCTTAATGCTAATGCTAATAATGCTAATGCGAGGATAATAAAATGGCGGCTTCACAAAACCTTTTGGGAGTTTTACGGGGCGTGGTTTGCAATCCTTCCAGCCAATCAGAAATATAGCTCTTTTCTCACAAGAGAGCCGCTCGAAAGTCCCTGCTCTATAGCAGGGACTTTTGTGGGGGTAAAAAGGTTCACATGAACTAATTTTAGTACCGGCTCTTTTTGGTGTGAACGCGATAAAAGAGTTCACATGAACTAAGTTCACATGAACCTTTGTGGGAAAAGTACTGCAGTGTGAATGCGCCTATTGTAAAGTGAATTTCTGACGAAAAATACAAATGATTATCCAATCCAACTTTATTTATATAGCACTTTAAAAACCTTCAGACCAAAGTGCTGTACAGAGAGATAAGCTCACACGACATAATATAAATACATTTAAAATACAAGATACAAACACAAAACAAACCAGAATAAACGTAATAATTAAAAAATAAATAACAGCCATATAATAAAAAACAATAGACCACTGAAAGCAAATAAAAGCAACAATCTACTTGTTTCTGAATGCCAAGGAGAAGAGGTGGGTGTATGAATACAAATAAAATAAAAGAAGCCTCCCGTGAGTTACTACAAGCTATAAAGTAGATTTAAAAAACGTTTTATGGAGTACAAAGCTCACTGCAGGACGTTGTAGAAATGCGTGTGTGCACCACGACAAAGACCTCATTCACTTTACATTGGGGTTGTTTGCGTGGTGCCGACACGTAAATGTAACAAAGTTAGTGACCCCACAACGCAATGTGGTGTTAAGGAGTCGTGGTGGAGTCACGCATTCTGGTGAGATCAGGTTGGTAATAAAGGTGTGTTAACTGCTGAGCCTATTTACTGTGCATACGACACCTGGCAGTTTTTTTATTATATTGCCGCACTGTTTTGATACTGACATAATTATCTTTGCACAAAGGTGTGTCTGCACTATTGTAATTGTGCCCGTCTTGAATGTGGTAAATAAAAGAGAGAACCAATATTGAACCAGTGCGGCAAAGTAGAGAATACCGTTTTGATAAGGGATCAATGTGTGTAGTCTTTAATATTAAAAATGATTGCTGGTTGATAGCCACAGAACTCGTATCACAGTTTCATCTGAGCGGATCACTGTTTACCACGGGAGTGGCTATATACAGGACCGTCCTGTACACAACGCCAAATGACTATATACAGGACCGTCCTGTACACAACCCTCTGAAATGGCTATATACAGGACCGTCCTGTACACAACCCTCTGAAATGGCTATATACAGGACGGTCCTGCACAGAAGCCCTGAAATGGCTATATACAGGACGGTCCTGTATATAAGGTCTCTGAAATGGCTATATACAGGACCGTCCTGTAAACAGCTCTCTGAAATGGCTATATACAGGACGGTCCTGTATATAGCCATTTGGCGTTATGTACAGGACCGTCCTGTATATAGCCTCGGCCGTTTACCACAGCTCTCCACGCTGCGTTGGAGATGCGTGTAAACAACTCAGACAGACTGTATGTTTCACTAACAGATGGTATGAAAGTATAAACAGGTCTCAAATCAACTCGACATCATATTAATAATGATACATGATACAAATATAAGACTGACAACAAGAACAAGCCACAGAAGTCGTATCACAGTTTATCCTGGGCGGAGCTCTCCACAGCTGAAGACTTCTCCACGCTGCTTTCAAACTGTGAGTAAACAACGTGTGCTTCACTTGGAGGCTGTCTGAAGGTGTACACAGGTCTCAGATGGACTTGGTATCACATTAAGAATGATATTCAGTAATAAGTCTGGCAAAAATAAATGGTTTAAATTATTTATTCAAGCTTGCAATGTTTTTGAACACACATCCCCAGTCACCTCGTGTGTCTTTTTGTAGTCCTCGCTGTACCCGTCCGCATATCGGCATCACAACCACAACCTCACACACTGATACTGAAAGTGCATCAAAGTGTTGCTATGCAGCCAAATATACCAACAGATGTATGTAAACGACAGAAGAAGCGATCGAAATGTGTATTTCCTGGTTATTCGACAAAGGCCACGCCCCTGATACATCTGCCTATACCAATGGTCTGCAACCTTTTTGACCAAAAGAGCCATTTTGCTCCTTTTTCCAAAACATTTTTTTGTCTGGAGCCGCAAAACATATTTCATAGTTTTTTATTGTTATATCAGACAAAAACTACAGGTTTTTTTGCATTTATTAGGCTATTTATTACATGATATAAAACTGTCAACCTCTAATAAGAAACAAAGAACTCTTATAAGGAGAATTAAAAATAATAGGCCTACTTTAAAATAAATTAAACACAGCACTTGGGGAGTCCTCTGCACATTTGAAGGAAAAAAAAATATGATTAAAATGGGCCCACTTTGAAATAAATAAAACATATAGCTGCACCCTAAAAAGAGTTAAAGGCGGGGTGGGTAAGAATGGAGAAACCAGCTCCAGTGCGCTAGAATTTGAAAATACACAACCGGAAAAAATATGTCTCTTCCTTCAGACTTCCTTCCAGAGCCCCTCCTCCAACACACACATGACCAATGAGGGCACGAGATCAGTTTGTGCACAGATGGAAGGCTGACAGGCAGGTAGGCTGACAGGCAGGTAGGCCATCCAGTTACTTTAGCCGGCTCAGATGATTGGTCGTGCTTTTTACAGCGCTATGGCTTTCAGAGATTAATTTTTGTATGTATTTATTGTCAAAGCATTTAATATATTCATTGCTATCGGGACGTTAAGAGCATTCCATGGAATATAACAAAAAGTGTTTTCTGAAATAAATGACATACCCCATTGAATTATGACTGAAGACCGTCAGCTGTCTTCCTCTCCCTTGTTGTTCCTCGATACGTAAAGGCTGCAGCACCTTTGACAACTTCTCTCTACATATCAGACATACCGGTAAACCAGCATCGTTTGCTGTGAAGGCAGATAACTCTGTCCACACAGAATTAAACCCTCTGTGTTCCTCCAGTACTTTTCTTTGATTTATCCATAGTTTGCTCATTGAGCCGGGGGTCAGGTTATTCGCCTCCAAGAAAAGGCGCTCGCGCGGGACCGTAGCAGGATGTGACGCATATTTTAGTTGACCTAATTAAAACCGTTTTGTTTTTTATTTATGTGTCACAGTATCACCTCAAAATACAAGATACGAAACATTTTCAACCATGCAACAAAATATAAATAGTCCTACAAATACTTTTATTTTATTTCCTTCTTATTTTGTCTAAACTCAAGGGAGCCAGAGCAGAGGGCTTAAAGGGCCGCACTGTTTTGATACTGACATAATTATCTTTGCACAAAGGTGTGTCTGCACTATTGTAATTGTGCCCGTCTTGAATGTGGTAAATAAAAGAGAGAACCAATATTGAACCAGTGCGGCAAGTAGAGAATACCGTTTTGATAAGGGATCAATGTGTCTTTAATATTGATTGCTGGTTGATAGCCACAGAACTCGTATCACAGTTTAATTACATTACATTACATTTAGCTGACGCTTTTATCCAAAGCGACTTACAATATCTCAATGGGGAGCTCATTCCACCATTTTGGAGCCAGGATAGCCAAACGGCTCGCTGCACCCTCGCTGCGAAGGGGACCCAAGTTCCCATCAGCAAAAACACGTGGGTTTGCTATCCTGGCTCCAAGATGGTGGAATGAGCTCCCCATTGACATCAGGACAGCAGATAGCTTACACACCTTCCAGACTGAAAACTCATCTCTTTCGACTCCACTTCGAGCGATAGATTTATTAACAAAGCACTTATATACTAATAAAGGACTGGCTTATCTAAAGCCAGTTGAGTAGCACTTGAAATGTTTTGCTCTATGAAACCTGATGTACTTTATGATTCTGTTTTCTTCAAGGTTATATTTTGTTGGTCGAACGCACTTATTGTAAGTCGCTTTGGATAAAAGCGTCAGCTAAATGCAATGTAATTATGTTGTTTCGTGAAATCTAAATTAATATTAAACTTCCAAGGTTCTTTGACTGCAACACTTTCCCCACAGATACATCTTTTATGGAAAGTTGCAAAGAGGATTTTTTGGTCAACAATATTATTATTCTTGGTACATTTTATAAACACTAATCTATGCATGAAAGTGAATCTTAGGTTCTATATATATATCATAAGTATTTCCTTATCAAGAAGACCCTCCCCCCCTGTACAAGATGCACCTGGATTCCAAGGACATGCTTTGCACCTGGATTCCAAGGAGACGCTTTGCACCTGGATTCCAAGGACACGCTTTGCACCTGGATTCCAAGGAGACGCTTTGCACCTGGATTCCAAGGAGACGCTTTGCACCTGGATTCCAAGGACACGCTTTGCACCTGGATTCCAAGGACACGCTTTGCACCTGGATTCCAAGGACACGCTTTGCACCTGGATTCCAAGGAGACGCTTTGCACCTGGATTCCAAGGACACGCTTTGCACCTGGATTCCAAGGACATGCTTTGCACCTGGATTCCAAGGACACGCTTTGCACCTGGATTCCAAGGACACGCTTTGCACCTGGATTCCAAGGACACGCTTTGCACCTGGATTCCAAGGAGACGCTTTGCACCTGGATTCCAAGGAGACGCTTTGCACCTGGATTCCAAGGACACGCTTTGCACCTGGATTCCAAGGAGACGCTTTGCACCTGGATTCCAAGGACACGCTTTGCACCTGGATTCCAAGGAGACGCTTTGCACCTGGATTCCAAGGACACGCTTTGCACCTGGATTCCAAGGAGACGCTTTGCACCTGGATTCCAAGGACACGCTTTGCACCTGGATTCCAAGGAGACGCTTTGCACCTGGATTCCAAGGACACGCTTTGCACCTGGATTCCAAGGACATGCTTTGCACCTGGATTCCAAGGACACGCTTTGCACCTGGATTCCAAGGACACGCTTTGCACCTGGATTCATGGGAATCCAACGTCCCAACTTCATTGAATTGGGGTTTGTATACAGTATATACATTAATGTATGTATGGAACTATTCATCTCTCTATTGCTTTGGAGCAGATGGCTTGGTATTTCACATTTCACACCAGGCTTCTGAGGAAAAGGGTGGCACCTTTACTCCTTAATATCCGCAGCAGAAGGGAGCGGCTTCAGAGCGATAACTGCTGCTGCTTCTCAACCTGGGATTTAGTTTGCTCTTGTTGGTTTTTTGTAAATATCTTTTTTTGATTTCCCCAGTTCTTTCCACCAAAGCAAGTGATGCTTAGCATGCACATTGGGTTTGGATTCACAAAGTAATGATACGTACAGCAGTTTCCATGTTCTCATAAGGGTTGAATGCTTTACTCCTGTGTCTTGCTGTAAAGCGACCTTGGGTCCCCTGAAAGGCGCTCTATAAATCTAAGTTATTATTATTAGTATTATTATTGCTTTCAACAATTTAGCTTTCATTGAGTATTCTGGGGAGTGGTGTTCACTGTACTCTGGTTAGAGTTCCCATTCATTAACATTGTGTGCAGTTATTGTCTGGTGTGAAGCGGGTACACCTGTTGAACACCTGAGAGGTCAACATGTCCCAACTCCTCCCACTAAGGCAATGATGAAGAACTCTTAGCTTCTTGGTCGCTCTAAAGTTTGAAATGGCAACTTAACATCCCATTCTAACTTTAACGTGCTCCACAGAATCAAACATTCATTCAAACCCAGAGGGACCAGAACAAACGAGGATATCAAAAAGTGACTTTTGTTTATCAGTAAATGTTGATTTCATCATCTTCTCAAACTGTTCAAAGTCGATGCTTTACGAACAGTTGAACAATATTTCTTCATAGGAACTTTCTATCGTAGTAACATATACTCAAGCATTATATATCCGGCAATCTCTCTGTCAAAACTGATGTTGAAATACAATATAAACATAATGGGGAACAATAGTTGCTTTTTCTGTTGAATTTATGATCATTATTTCAGGACTTAAGGTTCTTCAAGAGCCGATTGCTTTTGCTTTGGCTTTTTTTAAAGCGAGTTATATTTAGAGAACACAAGAGGAGTCTTTTCTCTCATGAAACCGGTGTGGGTGGGTTTCTCTGTTTAGGTTATGACCTTTCTGACAGAAGTACAGTTGTGTCCTTTCAGTGCTGCTGACTTATAGTCATGAAATGAAGGGGAACATGAAGCACAGTAAACTGACTGACATTTCTTTTTTCTGTCACGCTGACATTGTCCATAATAATAATGCACTTTATGTCAAGGTCATGCATGCTCATCAGTATTTGTTGCATGTTGAGAATGACTGATAACCAAAGATTGGTCAAATCCCTGGGGCACACTTTCTTGTTCATGTATGCATCATTGATAGCCAATTAGTTGCTTTTCCTTTTTGTCCAGCAAGATTGCAACAAAAAAAGGTAATTGCAAGGATTTATTCAATACTTGTACTCAGGACAGTTCACCATTACATATCCTGACTCAATGTATTACAGTTTATTTTGTATTCAACAGTTGTTGTTGTTGTTGTTGTTGTTGTTGGGCAGTGTGTGTAATCTTGCTCAATACACTTTACAACTTCTGATAAAACACCAATACTTATTTAATTCCACTACTTATCCGCCCTCTCAGGGTATTCTCTAGTTACAAATGAATACACACGCTAATGAGTAATGTAGTATGTTGGTTTAGCGTTCCACATAAGATGCAGTTCTGATTAAAAAGGGATGGCATAGCACTCCCTCTCTGACCCCCCCTTCTCTCCCCACCTCCAGCTCGGGTGAATAAATAGCAGGTGCATTTCCCTCTCAGGCACTTCACTCCTTTTCCTCTTCTTGCAGTCGGACAGGTGAAATCTCTGTAAGTATTCTTTATTTACATCCTGATAGATGGGTTCATACTTTTTAGTTTAAAAGATAGTTTTGTACATGAAGGAATGAATGCAGTTTGTTAGCATATTACTTTTCTGGGTACAAACTAATATAATGTAAAAGATAATTACCACTCAGCGTATACAAAATCACTCGTGGTGGTACAAAATAAAATGGCAAACCAACGGGCAAAATATGTTTTCAAAGCATTTTCAGGGATCTAAATGTTTATAATAGGAAATTTTTGTTGTTGCAGAATCATGAGCAGGAACTTCTTGTCCAATAATGGTGAGCTCCACAAGGGAGACTCTCTGGTGTCTAACAACGGAGCGTTTAAGGCTGTCTTCCAGGTGAGTGACTCAGAATATTTGTGCACTTGAGACTCTTATAAGGATTCACGATGAAGGCAAAAATATGAGAACAACTGTTTTGAAAAGTGCAAAGTTAACATGTCTCTGTTTCTGCTGCAGGAGGATGGTAACTTTGTGGCCTATGGCTGGAAGCCTGTCTGGGCTTCAGACACTTGTGGGACAAAAGCTTTCCGCCTGGTCATGCAGAGTGACTGCAACCTGGTCATTTACGACAAGGGGGGCAAACCACTGTGGGATGCAAAATCTAACAGACCTAACCCCGGGATTTGCCGCCTTCAGCTTACCGATGAGGGCGAACTGGTGGTGAGCAGCGATGCTGAAAGAGTCTGGGCCTCTTCTAAATGAGGCATGAAGTGATGCATTGTATGTGAAAGTCATGTTTTGGAAGTCAATTTGCCACCAGTAAAACATACCTGTTATTTAATCTTGGATTAAATAAAACAAATTCACAATGCAAAATGAGTTTTTCATTATTTTTGTAGAGGCCTATGTTCTGGCTTAATTGTATGTTGAATCTCCGCTTATTTGGACTCCAGGAATAGGAATAGCACTTGTATACCTAAGCTAAGGCGGGTGCATTTACTAATGATAATAGCATTGATGTGTGTGAAAGAGGGAGACGTACATGTATGTTAAAGGCAACCTATCA